CATCAACATTGTAGATACATAAACATTGTAGATACATAAACATAAATTATGAATAAATTAACATAAAATTATAGATACATTAATCAATAGATTGTGGGTGCATCAGATAAATTAATATCATGGGCGATATGATATAACGTGGTTTGAGATTGAATGTGTGTGTGTGTGTGTGTGTGTGTGTGTGTGTGTGTGTGTGTGTGTGTGTGTGTGTGTACATGTATACATTTGTTAATTAAATGAAAACACTGATTAAATTGGGTTGAATTAAAATGCTTCGTTCGGAGCTGAATGAGAGTGTTAGAGATGAATTCTTCTCTTTTCTTAATCCAGGTGCAGTCGAATTTAATTTACCAAAATTTAACTTTGGTGAATTTCGTCAAAATAAAATTAGATTGAACATTAGATTAAAATATACCATGCACCCATTTATTCATTAATTAAATCAATCATTAATTCATCCAGCCATCCATTCATTCATTCGTTCATTCATTTACTGGCCAACTATTTTTCACATAATCAGTCTATTTATCTGTTTATGTACCGTCCGTACATCCGTCCATCCATTCATTCATCCATCCATCCATTCATTCATTCATCCATTCACTTACTCACTCTTTTAACCAACCAACCAACCAGCAAACTGACTAACTTAACAATCAGTTCGTGAGGTGTGCAGATGACCAGGAACAAGAGGTCTGAAATAGCTAGACCTACGAGAAATCTCGAAGTTGATGTTCGCCTCTTGGAGTTTGCTACGTGTGACAGTACAACCAACACGTTACCTGTGTGTGTGCGTGTGTGTGTGTATGTGTGTGTGCGTGTGTGTGTATGTGTGTGTTCATAGCGAGTTAATAAATCAACCAACCAGCCAGCCAACCAACCAATCAGCCAACCAACCAACCAATCAGCCAACCAGCAAATTAACCGACCGACTTACCGACAAAACCGACGAAGAATGTGACAATGAAGAAGAGGCAAGTCGGTATGAAGGAATCGTCATCGATCCATTTCTCTTCGATCCGTTTCAAATCCGTCACGTAGATGGCAGTACGGATTAAATGTTCCGGAAAACCAGACGGAAGTAGCGGTGTTGATAATGATGTCATCGTTGATGATAGTGATGGTGACAACGATAGCAATGATGATGATGTTGGCGATGATGATGATGATGATGTTGTTGGATATTCCAGAAGATTTAACATATTCTAAGAGTTATTTTCTAACTGTGCTAGAGATGCTTATTATTATTATTAATTATTATTATTATTATTTATTATTTTATAATAATAATAATAACAGTAGTAATAATAACAGCAACAACAAAATTAATAATGATTTATGGATTTGGTTAACCTAAATATCTAGAATTACACGAGGTTATATTGTATATATAATATATATATATATATATATATATATATATATATATATGTGTGTGTGTGTGTGTGTGTGTGTGTGTGTGTGTGTGTATATATAAATTTATGTGTAGATATGATATATATCTCTATATATCATATATCATATCATGATATATCAGTGACATTATATATCATATCAGTTACACGTTACAAACGTACATCATTCTTTGTGCTATATAATTATCTAATTTATTTCATTATTAATTAGTTATATAATAACAATAATAATTAAGGAAAAAATTATATTATTATTATTGTTGTTGTTATTATTGTTATTATTATTATTATTATTTACATTATGTTATAAATAACAAATGCACATAACAGTTCCGGCAGTATTAAAATAATAAATAAATATTTTTATTCATTCATTTATTCGTTCGCTCGCTCGTTCGTTCATTCTTTCATTTGTTCGTTCACCTATCCATCCATCCACTAACAACATCGGAATGAAGATGTTCACTCCATGCCTTTTTTATACTTTCGTTCTCTCTCTTTCCCTTTCTTTCTTTTTTTTCTCTCTTTCTCTCTCTCTTATTTTTTCTCTTTTTTTTGCTCTCTCTCTCTCTCTTTCTTTTTCTCTCTTTCTTTCTCATCATCATCATCATCATCAATAATTATTGCTATCATAATTATTTTTTTATCGCCAGCGCAATGGCATAATAGATTAGTGACCTTCTTCAAAATTTTACAAGGTCATCAGGGATCGTGACGTCATTTTTGTTGTTGTTAGTGGTAGTAGTAGTAGTAGTAGTAGTAGTAGTAGTAGTAGTAGTAGTAGTAGTAGTAGTATTAGTAGTAGTGGTAGTAGTAGTAGTAGTAGTAGTAGTAGTAGTAGTGGTAGTAGTAGTAGTAGTGGTAGTAGTAGTAGATGTAGTGGTAGTAGTAGTGGTATTAATAGTAGTAGTATGAGTAAAAAAAAGAATTAAGAAAATGAGAGGTAAGGAATGAAATTGAATTGATGATTTATTGAAAGAAAAGTCAAATAATGAGAATGAATGAATGAACGAACGAACGAAAGAATGAACGAACGAATGAACAAAAGAATGAATGAATAAACTGAAAACAAAATAATGAACCTGAAAACAAATGAATTAACGAACGAACGAAAAGTTTTGGATTGTTAACTGTTTGTTTAATGATCTTTTAACTATCCGACTAATGTATGTTTGTATGTTTACATGTATGTATTGTGGTGTGTATGTATGTATGTATGTTTGTTTGTTTGTTTGTATGTATGTTTGTATTTTTGTATCTACGTACCAAAATCTAAATGAAAAGACAGAAAAAGAATGATTTTCTCGTTAATTTTGGTATATAATTGTTGATTCTTTGGTATATAATTGTTGTTCTTGTTGTTATGTTGTTGTTGCTGTCATCATCACCAACAACATCACCACCACCAACAACAACAACGACATCATTACCATCATCATTACCATCATCGTCGTCAACAACAACCCAAAAAACGCTAACCTAGTCATAATGTTGCCTGATTTAAGCTTTTAAGAGTTCCAAAAACTCCTCTTGATAACGATCTCTCGTTGAATTATTCATAATAACAATAATAATAATAATAATAATAGTAATATTAATAATAATAATAATGATAATAATAATGATAATGATGATAATGATAATGATAATAATAATAATAATAATAATAATAATAATAATAATAATAATAATAATAATAATAATAATGATAATGATAATGATAATGATAATGATAATGACAATAATAATAATAATAATATTTTCTTTCCTTTGAACAAATTGTTATAACAACATCATGCAATTTATCACTCTGATGATAAGTGTCTTAAATGAATTATTTCTATTGTTATCATTATTATTATTATCATTATTATTATTATTATTAGTAGTAGTAGTAGTAGTAGTAGTTGTAGTAGTAGCAGCAATAGTAGTAGTAGCAGCAGTTGTAGTTGTAATAATTTGTTTGTTTTTTTGCAGAAAACTCCCTAATACTTTACATTATTTTGGACATTAAAATCTGACTTTCAATAGCTTCTGAATGCATATTTTTTTCCAGCTTTACCTTCCTGATATTTTATTATTTTTTTTTTATTATTCTCACACTGACTTTTAATTCGAAACTGTTTGTCGATGTCATTAATAATTTTGTTCAAAACGATGACGATGATGACTACAACAACAACATCATCAACAACAATAACATTAACAACAACAACAACATTAACAACAACAACATTAACAACAACATCATCAACAACAACATTAACAACAACAACATCAACAACATCAACAACAATATCATCAACAACATCAACAACGACAACAACGACATCAACAACAACAACATCAACAACAACAACATCAACAACAACAACATCAACAACGACAACATCATCATCAACAACAACAAAAGCATTAGAATGACGTCACATCAAATTCATTATATATCACTAATGACACCTAGGCGAATTTCTCATACAGGAATCATCATCATCAACATCTTCAGCAGCAATAGTAGTAGTAGTAGTAGTAGTAGTAGTAGTAGTAGTAGTAGTAGTAGTAGTAGTAGTAGTAGTAGTAGTAGTAGTAGTGGTAGTAGTAGTAGTAGTAGCAGTAGTAGTAGTAGCAGTAGTAGTAGTAGGAGTTTTTGTTGTTGTTGTAATAGTAGTGAAAGCGATCAATCAATGATCTGTCTTCATTTTGTTTTTTGATGAATACATAACTGAAAATTTTATCATTTGCATGCATGCACACAACATGAAACTAAAGAGTGAAAAACACAAAATGTTTTATTCGATAATCCATCATTCATTCATTCATTCAATCGCTCATTCACTCATTCATTCATGTCGTTCGTTCGTTTGTTCATTCATACAATTTTTTGTTTTTATGCTCAATCAATCATTAGTTTTTCACTTATGTGTTTTTTAATTCTTTCTTTCGTTGGTTGAGTCGTGAATTATTACTTTCATTCATTCGTTAATTCATTCGTTCGTTCATTCATTCAAAGTTTAAAAGACACAAGACATATTAACATATAATATCTATCACCTCCCTCAAATGAAGATTCACTTCAAAAGCGTATAAAGGCAAGACAGCAAACAGAATTACAAATCAAAACTATGGCCGAACTCGTCGGTAATCATTTCAAACCCCATTCTTCCTCAAACTCATACAGACATCTCTTGAACCAAATTTTATTATTCCTCGTGTTATCTTACTTTAATCAGCCAACCCTTCTTTAAAAAAATTGCGTGTCAACCATGGATAACTTTTATAAAATTCCAGACAGCTTCCATGTATAGTTCATTTTTTACTCAAGAGAGAGACATTGTAATGGTAGTTTTACTTTACATGGTAATTGCAGACCATGCATGTGTCCCTCTGTGATATCTGCAGACTGAAACAACAAAATGAGCCGTCAAACTAATTAACATCAAACCATATGAACGTTGATGACTATTTAAAGATTAGAAAATAACTAAAAAATCATACTTGTCTTATTTTTATAGAAATTCAGGAACGTCGTGAAATAGAACGTAACCTTCAAAGACAACTCCAATGACTTTTTTCAGTTAACAAATCAAATTTAAATAATTTTTTCAATATATGAAAAACCGAAACTTCAAAACCAACCTATTTTAGTACTTTCTGCTCTTTTCTTTTTCAAGAAATTAGGTTCATCCAGATGCAATCCTTAGACAAATAAATTTAAAATTTTATAAAATTGCATATATACTAAATTTTAAATAACCTGGAAAGAGCATTGAACGAAGGCTAATCCATCTCAAGCTACGATGACGCAGTCCCACAGGACTTACCAACAAACGAGCAAAGAGATTTTCAAAAGAAATAATTTATCAGCCTACGAAAATTTGAACTTAATTAATTTCTCACTTGTAGACGCCTCGTTTAATTCATCTCCACTCTAAAATAATATAATAGTCGCATTCTGAAAAACTTTTACAGAAATCTTCGTTTCACGGAGTCGCAAACGGCAGAGCAGTCAAACCAAATAGGCAATAGCGGTCAAAATGTTTAGCTCTCAAAAGATCCGATAATAATTTTTTTTACCTGCTTCAAACAAGCGGAAAATACCAAAAAAAAACGGAAATTGTACATATAAAGCAAGATAGTGCAAATATATAACAATTTATAACAAATAATTAAAAATATATAATTGAAGATGTGACTTATAGCGCATATATAACGAATGTATATGAAAATAGGCTGTTTGTAACACTACCTTTGATGGTATTAGAAAAAGAGGAATCATATATGTATACAGACGCGCGCACACACACACACAGCGTATTACTTATATAAAAATTTATATATATATAGCAGTATATATTCGTTTAAGCAATATCAATAGCGACGATATAAAGCACATGAACACTTTTAAGTTGCGAATGAACAGTAACGAGTAAAAAATTACACCACACACACTAATCTGTCCACATGAGTTATGTCAATATTGAAAGATAACATAATTATGTATTAAATAATATTATTACTATCATAATAAATAACCTCTTAACGTGAACAATAATTTGATAACAAAATAATAATAATAAATATTAAACATTAAAAAAAAACAAATAAAAATTATGAATACAGAATGGCTGAGAAATGATAAATAAATTTAATTATGTGATTACTAAAGCAATTAAGTTTATTGGTGTTGCACGCACGCATACACACGCACACATACACATGCACGCGCACACACGTATGACTTAGTAATTTATTCAGTGTCTTTGACATCAGCAGTACCACCGTTATCTTTTTCTGCCTGTTTCTTCTTTCTGACTTCTTGCACGTGTCTCTCCTGTTACAGTTTATTATTTTTTAGGAAATTATTTTATCTAATTTAAGAGATATAATTTATTCAAATATTTAATTATGAATGAATTTTTTTGAAAATTTTGATCGATGAGATGGACTGCGAATTAATTTAAAATGTTAAAAAAAGGATTTATGATTAAAATGAAATAAAATTAAAAAAATCATCAGCAGAAAAACATAAAAAAGTAGATGAGCTAAATATAGAAATAGAATACAATAACACAAAAACATTGCAGCCCAAACAATGAAACAAACTAACAAACAACATTTCAAACACAGATCCAACTAAACAAGAAAATAAACAAAAATACAACCACAACACAAACACTAAAACCACACTAACTCACAACCAAAGACACCACCACATAATACTATAATACCCCATACTAACATGTTCCTTCAACTTTTCAAGCTTAGCAGCTTCTTGCGCTTTTTTGAGCTCTTCGGAGGCCACCAACTTATCGGCTAATTTTTTCTCAACCTCCTTGCTGAATGCTTCCTCTATGTCTTTGTTCTTCAGATTAACCTCTACTACCTTATCTTTCTCTTTTAGTACGGCCTGCAACCTCTGGGACTCTAGTTGCTAATAGAAAAGTGACTTTTTTTTAAAATTTGCAAGTATGAAAATGTGAGAGCTAATTAAAGTTAATTTTGTACTTTCAATGTAACTTAAGAGCTAATTATAGTTAATTTAATGTATTTTCAATGTAATTTAGAAAATAATTAAAATTAATTTAACAGTATTTTTAAATGTAATTTGAAAATAGGTGTGCCATTCAATGATAATTATAAAAAAATTGTCAACCCAAATCAACCAATCACAGACAGCAAACAAACAAACCAACCGACCACTCTCCTCTCTTCTGCCTCTTTCAACTTCCTATCAATATCCTCTTGCGAGATGGCAGGTCGGTCCTTGGATGGGGAGGGAGGTGCGACATCACTGCTCGCTGGTTTGATGATGACCTCAAATGCTACTCCTCCTCCACATTCTCTTTTGAGTTCCGTTCCTGTTAGAGATGGCATGATGGATATGAGTTCATGGTGCTTGTTGTTAGGTATTTTTGAAGAATTAATAAAAAGATAAAACAAAAACTTTGAAATAAAATTATAATAAAAATATTAAAAAAAATAAACATCACATAAATATATATTTATATTTTATAATATATGATATTATAGATAAACTACTAGTATAAACATGAAATTTTAAAAAATTAAGCTTAATTAATATTAAACTAAGCATCATAGACATAAAAAAAAATGTGCAAGTGAATCAAATTCAAAATCAACTCAGTTAAGTTACTTAGGTTAGTTGGTTAGCAGGGTAGGCATACTGTACTTACTTCTTATTATAATAATTATATGATAATGGGCCTCTAAACTAAAATAGGGTGTAGACTAAAATAGAGTATACTATACCCTATTTTATACTATACCCTATACTATACTATACCCGGTATAGAAGGGCAAACACACACAGAAATTGAAATAATTAATAAAAAATGCAGGCAAGAGTTCAAATCTCTTAACTTAATTAATGGAACAATTAAAAAACTCATTTTAGCACAAAATGATAAAAATTGATTTTTAAAATTAACCTTCAGCCATTTCTTTGCTTTAAAGAATTTTCAAAAACCGATTTTAGCGCCGAAAAAAATTCAAATTATACACTGGGAAGGCAGGAAAAGGAATTAATCTGCAAAAAGTTAATTCAAATTTAAAGATAAACTCTATTAAATATTCCGGGAACAATTCATCTGACTATAGAAGTCATGGAGTTAGAATAAAACTGAAATGATTATACCAATTTTTACATTGGAAATGTCGACATAAAAATAGTTGCCTTGGAATTTTATGTTAAGTAAGTAAATCTATCTTAAAACCAAAACAATATCTACTTAAATGAATAGAAAAATATATATATTTATCATTATATATGTATAATATATACATGCATTAATCACAAAACATCAACCCAAATCTAATAAAATTCAACAAAATTTGGCCAAAACATCAAACAAACAAACCATAAAAATTACAAAATTCTCAAATGCTAATTTGAAGCGCTATACAAATGGGCGCCAAACGATCACAGAACACTTCAAATCAACACATAAATACATATTTACATCATATATACACATGAATCTATACATAATACATGCAAAAACCTGCAATATAAAGCTTGCATTACATACAAATTGCGTTTATACGTACGTACGCACGCACATGTGTAGTGTACGTATAACGCGTGTGCGTATCAAATCGAACTCCGCAGTTGCATACCAAATGTGCTTATTATATATATATATATATATATATATATATATATATATATATATATATATATATATATTTCAAAAATTCAACACTACTTTCAACATTGTTCAACTTTTTCATATTTCTTTTTAATTTCCGAGAAATTAGACATTTTATTGACATACCTTATATATAATGCACTGAAGATGAGTTATTTATAACTCGAAATAGCTATTTGCAAATTTATTTAATAAAAATTTTTTAAAAAAACAATAAAATGTCTAATTTCTCGGAAATTAATAAATTAAAAAGAAATATGAAAAAGTTGAACAATGTTGAAAGTAGTGTTGAATTTTTGAAATGTTGCGTTAACAATAGTCTGTTACCAAAAAAAAAAATATATATATATATATAGTTTGTGTGTGTGGTATAATTTAGCTATGAACTGAACAGATATAATTATTAATCCTAGTAAATTTTTACAATCATATTAATATTATATTTATTTATTTATGTATTATATTTAAATTTTAGGTCTCTATATGTGCCCTTAAAAGTTTGGCGTCGACGTCAACCTGTGTAATGAAGAAGAATAGTCTGATCACAACTGCCAAGTGATAGCTAAGCAAATTTTTTTAGCTCTCAAGTTGTGTTAACGTATAAATATTGTAAAAACAATGAGACACCCGAGCGAGAGAGAGAAAGAGAGAGAGGGGGAGGAGAAAGAAGTGGAAGAAGACGAGAAGAAAGAGAGAAAAAAGATAAAAGAGAGAGAGAGAGAGATTAATAAAAGTGAAAAGTTTACATAAACTATCCTGAACTGACAGTAATTAATTAAGTAGGCAGGCAATCTCAATCTCAAACCAATTAAGTTGCTAAAATGAACAGAAAATTATCTCTAAGATGACTGCTGCAATAATTACAACAATAATAATAGCATAATAATAATAATAATAATAAAACAAGAATAATACTATTAATAATAAAACAATAAAAATAACAACAAGCCAGTAGGGGAGGTACCAGAAGATAGAATGTTAACGTAGCATAACTACATGCCAGTCAAACAAAGATTAAAACAGTAGGCCTATCATGAATGATGTGCTAAATTATTTTGCATGTGATTCATACGATGTTTGTACGTGTGTGTGTGTGTGAATGTAACGTGCGGTGCTGTGTGTACAATGTTTGTCTGCGTGTGCGTGTGCGCGTCTATCAGCTGCAAATGTTTTGTCTTCATCGAGAGTTAGAAAATAAAAGCTTCGAATTTGAATTTAAATACGTACGTACGTGTCACTTACAACGGACTCATCATTCAAGAACCACTTTGAGCGATTCAAAGAGTGTTAGGTAAGTTGGTTGGTTGGTGAGGTAGGTAGGTAGTTAGGTAGGTAGATATGGTAGGTAGGTAGATATGGTAGGTAGATATGGTAGGTAGGTAGGTAGGTAGATAGGTAGGTAGGTAGGTAGGTAGGTAGGTAGATAGGGTAGGTAGGTAGGTAGGAGCAGCATAATTTCCATGATACGGAACCCACAGGCCGAGGAAGAAATGAATTTACACTGTTGTTAACTTAACCGTAACAACGACAGTGGCGTCAGCAAAGTTGATGACGATGTCGATGATGACGCTTATGATGACGTCAGCGATGATGATGACAGATGACGTCAGCGATGACGGATGACGTCAGCGATGATGATGACGACTGGGAGGATGAGAAAGACGAAAATGCAAAAGTGAAAATGATGATGACTACGGAGATGATGACTCATAAAAATACAATAGAGAGTACGAAAAAAAGAGAGAGAATGAGAAAAATAGTGAGAGAGAGAGAGAGAGAGAGAGATTGTTTTGGGAATTATTCAGTGGATGCTTCTGATGATGGTAACGATCTCATCCGTAGTTCCTTCGTACAAACGAACGCGATAGGCGAGTGAGTGCACGCAAAGTATGTTTGTATGTGTGTATGTATAACCATGTATGTGTGTGTTTGTGTGTATGTGTAACCATGTGTGTGTGTGTGTGTCTGTGTGGAGTGTGTATGTGTAACCATGTATGTGTGTGTGGAGTGTGTATGTGTAACCATGTATGTATGTATGTGTGTGTGTGTGGAGTGTGTATGTGTAACCATGTATGTATGTATGTGTGTGTGTGTGTGGAGTGTGTATGTGTAACCATGTATGTGTGTGTGGAGTGTGTATGTGTAACCATGTATGTATGTATGTGTGTGTGTGTGGAGTGTGTATGTGTAATCATGTATGTATGTGTGCGCGTGGAGTGTGTGTGTAGCCATGTATGCGTGTATGCATGTTCGCCTGTGTTTATGTTCGCTGTTTCACGCATTTATACAGAGGGCTTCATTATTACCATTGATGAATGTGCCCGGCTGGCTAGATTGTATTAGCGTTTGTTTCTGTCTTTGATGGAAGATGAAAAAAAATCTATCTACAAAGTTTATTTACTCACGTGAAAAACCTCAGAATTCAAAACAAAAGACGGACAACAAAAACATGCAAACGAATAATATTCGTTAAAAAATAATTAACAATAAAACTGATTATTATGAAATTATGATGAAACTATATCAGCATTCTTTGACTTTTAATTGCTATCATCTTCTTGGGTACAACACGAACTGACTAGGAAGTGAGAGAAAGAGACCTTCTTTTCTCTCACCAACCCCCATAAAATCGACCAACTCGTTTACCTTTCACCACCATTAAAATCATTAAAATCTTGTTGCTGCAGTTGTTGCTGCTGAAGCTGCTGTTTTTTGGCGTTATTTAAAAGATCAGTATGGTAGTACCAGTCGCATCTCTGATAGTTGGCCCGGTTTAGGTAGCGATTCGATGTTGTGCTGTTGTTGTCTTGTTGCTGTTGACGTGGTTGCATGTTTAGCAGATCCGGTCTGCCTCCTTGTTTGGCTAGCCTGTAACGGGCACCATTCATTCAATCATTGATTGATTCATTCATTCATTCAGGCATCTGCTCATTCATTCATTCGTTCATTCATTGGAATTAATATAGCGCTGTTTTTAATGGCATTCCACATCGCACTTCAACCGTTAATTTGCATGCATGCGACGAGAGTTAATACAAAAAGAACACACAAACGGACGAACAAACAAACAAACACTCACACAAACAAACAAACAAACAAACACAGACACACACAACAAGAATTAACTGTAAAGATTGTTCCTTGTACCTAATATAAGGGCTATCAGACTCCTTGATCCAGCCATGCCTGGATATTGGATCATCAGCTGGTCCCACACCACTGTGACTCAATCCTGGAATTTGGGATATTGCCGGATATCCGGTTGGACCTCTTGTTAGGTCCGCTTTCTGTGGCACGTGATAAAACCAATCTACAATTTTTTTTTTATTTAGGGATAATAATTTGGTAAATCAATCATCGAATGAATGAATTAATGAATGAATAAAATAAATGAACGAATGAATGATTGATTGAATGATTGATTGAATGAATGAAATGAATGAGTAAATGAATGAATGAATAACGAAATAAATTACAAGCCAATGAAACCTTGTCCTAACGGTTGTTGCTTTTTACCACTCATAACAACGATAACTTTTAATTAATAATTAACTTATTTATAACAATAGCTATAATTAACTATAATTAATAATTAAATAAATGACTAAGAACTAACTGTAATTATTATCAATATTTTGAATAAACGCTTATATTGCAATTTTAACGTACAAAAATAACTGGTCTCTATAGCAATTATAAACATTTTCAGAATGAAGAGATCCTCGAATAAATCCAAATATAAATTAATATATATTATGATAATTTAATAAATAAATGAATAAACATATAAACTTGTAACAAATTAAAAGGGAATATAAATTTAAAACTTATTTTAATAAAACTCAACAGCTTATTACGAACAAAACCTTTGATAAAACATGTAAAAATTAAACTATACGTAATATTATTTTCATGTATAATTTTCTAAAGTTCAACCTTTTAAATTTACATAATTAAACAATTATCAATAAATAAACCGTCAAATTATTTGTAGGAATTGAACTATAGTCCCTAACTTCAGCTCTTAACTGGAAGCATTAGGTAGACATTCTATTTTTACATTAGCCGTATTACCGCGATGTTTGAGGACTTCCTATACTAATAATGACTTATCCGTGACGTCACTGTTAACCTAATTGTCTTTAATAAACAACTCACCATTTTCGTTAAAGTATTTAAGAATTTTTCACAAAAAATGTAAATAAATTTATCGGCAAGCGTTAATATAAGCACACACACATACGCACAAATAAGTTAACATAATAAAATATATTTATACGAACAAGCGATTGAACGAGATAAAATCCAAAAAATATTAGTATCGATATCGACATAGGTGTTTTTATTAATAATATTCACCACAACCTATATATAAACACGCACGCACGCACACATCAATGCAAAAATGGCCTAATAAATAAATAAAACGTACTATCGTGATGCCGGTCAATGTCAAATTTTGAATAACAATAAGTAAAGATATACACGTATACAGACTTGATAAAATAATATTTAATTATTCATAATATTAATTAATAATTCAAATAATCGTGGTTATTAACTAATTGTATTTACTTGATAACATTTGAAAAGTGACTACCAGCGATTAGATATCTCATTGATTGATTGATTCAACTAAATCAATCAATCAATTAATCGTTAATAAATCAATTAATTGAATAATTAATTAAGCTATTTCGTCTCCTTATTGTCTTGCAATGAAGCCTCGATGGCCGCTTGCATCATGGCGTCATCGTCTTGCTTGTAGTCCTGAAATTATAAATAATAAATCAATAAAAGAAAATAAATAATAATTAATTAAAGAAATAAACAACAATAATAATAATAGATATAATAATAACAACAAAAACACACAATCCCTCATCATTCGAACCTCTACAAAACAAATATTTTCGGAATATCAAGAAAAAATGAAAAACGAACCACGTATGTGTCATACTCAAATCGGTGCCTGACGTTGAGGTGCTGTATGAAATTGATACTCTTAAAGTTAGGGTCGCCCCAGGGCATCGAAACGCAAACCGGGCAGACCTTGTTAACGATTTCATCACACTTCAATTTATTTCAATTAACTTCATCACTTTCATCCAAATATCATTATAAGCCAACCGTCTAAGCCAACCCAGCACCCTAAATCAAACTAACTCAGTCAGGGCTACAACCTCGACACTCAACTTTTAAAAAAAAAAGTAAAACCGAATTAAAAAACGCGCGCAAAAACAACGATGACGTCAAAGACAAACCACGGGCGTTCGTTCGTTGGCGTGAGCTTCGTTGCAGTGCTTCACGAGATCCAGTGTGTCCAGGTGCGAGTAGTGACAGTACGGACACTTGAATGTGTGTCGGTTCGGTGCGTTACTGAGAGGTAATAAAAATTGAACTTAAGCAAATTTGTTACAAATGTAGATACGATAGATGATACAAGCAGCAAAGAAAAGGAGGAAGAAACCTCTTTTTTTTATCACCGAGACGTGGTTATATTTATAAAAAAATGGTTTTAATATTTCAGATTTAATCTTAAAAAAAATTCTTCACTGTGTGAGAGATTACACGACAAAAATGGAAGCTAACAAATAATGACGAAGTTGTACTAATTCAACACTACAGAACATATGCAAGCCTTACACGTGCCTAATAAACAATACTCTCTTAACTATCATTAGCTACACTTATTACCACACACGTGATGCCATCTGACCCATATTAAATTCTGTCATTGAATACCGTTATTAAATACAGGCGTAATAAAAAGGATTGTTAGCATGAATGGTTGTTGCAATGAGACAATGGCTTGGCCAAGTCACAAAAAAGAACACAGACTACCACACTTTAAAGTGTTTGTGAGATCTTTTCATGACAAGCCCAACAAGGGCAGTATAAAATTACAACAGCTGACTAATTATTCAATTGGCTTAATCAATTAATTGGTTTTGATTGAATTTCAAATTTCTTTCTTACTGTATTGGTGAGTTAATTTTTAACTTTTCTACTTGTTCAGCTTCTCTATTTTTAGCCTCCACACAAACTTCCCTGTGTTCTTTGAAAGCCGACAAGATGAACTGTGGTGAAATAATATCGAACAGTGTCATAAAGTTAATCGTATATGTTATGCAAAGTAAGTCAAAAAGGTTTTAATACACTAAAATTTAACTTAGCACATCCAAAACTAAGTTTTTAAAAAAATTAATACATTTAATAAAATGTAAATACTCTTGTTTATGCAACTATTCATTTAAAATTATTAATACTAAGATATAATGAATATGTATGATTTTGGATAGTGTAACAGTTAAGATGTCCAGCTCTGATGGAAGTTTGAATGATTAGACCTCTACCTATCACATACAATGTACACATTCACATTCATTCACATATACATACACATGTGTTGGTTGGTGATATCTTTGAAAATTATTAGAAAAAATTAAAGAATAAGGCAAACAAAAACCATTTTTCTACAGCCTTCACACAAAGTTTTGCACGTTTTAAGAGCATTAAAGAGATAGCCTTCTAAGCGGGAGTTGTTGAGGTTGAAGACCTGCCTGCATATCGGGCAGTGGTTGGTCATTGATTTGTCTGTATACATGTAGATGCATTTGCTACAGAACCTTTCAAATGAAAAAATGTTTGTTTCAGTTTTTTATGTTAAATTTTAATCTGAATTCTTATTCAAGGTTTATTTCTTTTTAAATGAATAATTTAATTAAGTTTTATAATATTTTGAGTCACTTTAGGTTAGGCACTACTTTTAAAACATTTCACCAATATGGCTGAAATTTGAAATTAAAATATTAACAAATTATCAAAACACTTGAAAGAAAAGTTAATCAAAACTAGTGCATATTATAATTATTTAAAAATACTTGATAATTATCAAAAATTAATTCAGTAACTTAGTAACATGAAAATGTCAGCTTCATAAAGAAAGAGATAAAATGAAGCAGACAAGAAGATATGTAACATTAATAATAATATTAAACAACCAAAAATGGAAAACCAACACATGTTTGCTGCCACAGTCAATGAGAACAGGGGTCTCAAAGATGTCCAAACAAAGTGGACAACAAAATTCATCTCTACCTTCACTGGAGACATCGCTGTGATCTCTTGAAGCCGCCATTTTTAAAGTGGCTTCTCACAAATTTTACTAATTACACTAACTGCTGAAACTAGTATTTTTCTAATTTTATTATTTATCTATTCACGAACGCAGGCAAGCTCAATTCTAAAAAAATAATTTAAATAAAAACATGCGAAAAATGCGCAATATGAGTAAAAAAAGTTTTTAAAACATATTTGAACGCCGTACGTAACTTAGACACAAAATTTCATTCAAACACTCCTCCGTAAATAAATTAGAAACACATTTGCGAACCGGTCGGACTCGTACGTGCCGATATATTTCACGCAGATTACGATTAGTGTACAACCATTAATTTATAGTACAAATACCGAAAAACAGTCCACTTTTAATTGAAAAATTAAATGTGAATTTAAGTAAAAAACTAAAAACAAAAAAATTAGACAAAAAATGCAATTTGTTACCACACACGCGTACATATCGACCAATTATTTTCTCTTCAGAGATTTTTTGGAGTTACTTATCGGCAGGACATCTTTTAACTTCATTCTTTTCGAAGGCGGCTGTGTCTCCTTACAACCGTCGCCACCATCATCAGCAGCAGCAGCAGCAGACGGCACGCCTCTACCATATTTATCACCATTATTATCACCATAGTTACCATTATTATTTACAGAATCACCATCGTTAACCGAGCTCCCACCGTTGTCATTTTCAATATTCTCGTTACCAGCATCGTTGTTTTCTTCGTCGCCATCTCTTTCCTCTTCTTCCTCCTCCTCTTCCGCGTCGAGAGCAGCTTGCAAGGAGGCTGAATTTATCCGGAAGTCACGTGCCGTGCTTAGTTTGAAGTGGCACATTAGGTTGATCTTGAGGATGGATGATGATGAAATTGATTATGTTGTCTATGGTTAATTAAACAGAATGATCATGATTGATTATGTTGTCTATGGTTAATTAAACAGAATAACCAATCAATCAATCAATTAATCAATCAGTCAATTAATCAGTCAATCAATTAATCAATCAATATCAACCAACCTTGGTTTTTTTAGTCAGCTGGATAAGAAATTTCTCAAACTGTTCGATACTATATATCAAATTTGGGATGGCTTTTGTTTCTTTCAGGCTTTTTATCTATAAAAATAATAATGACGTCAATGAAAATAGCAATGATAATAATAATAATATTAATTATAATAGTAATTATAATAGTAATAATAAAAATTTAATCGAACATTCGTGAAAATAACTTTTCTGATCACAAGATACGAACCTTATCTACAGCATTGGCATTTTTGTTTTTCTTATTCTTCTGCTTCTCATTAGCTGCTTGCAAATGCTCATTCTCGACTGTCTATTTGAAGAAAAAAATGGCCGACTTAATTGTTTATCTCGGTTTGAATAATTTACCACCATCTTCGCCATCGTGATCGCCTTCATCATCGTCTTCTACGCTACCTCCACCACCATCATTTATATCGTCATTATCCGTGTTCTCATCGAAAATGCTATCAGCATCTTCTTCCAACAACACCATCACAGTAAACTCAGTCATCATCATCATCCTCACCTTTATCACCATCATCATTCTGATTATTTTTATTATTATCGAAACCGCCATACAATTCATCGCCATCATCATCATCACCACCAACACAATCATTATCAACACTGCCATCGACACCACCACCATCATCATCATCACCAACAACACAATCATCATCGTCACCATCAGTACCTCAATATATGATATCATAGGGTAGACAGATTTAGTTAGCTTAGTGGCGATCAGCTGTATGAGCTTTTCAAATCTCCCGCCAATAGTGTAATCGTCACCATTGCTGCTGCCGTAGTTCTGGATGTACTGCACAAATGAAAATAATAATAATAATAACAAATAATAATAATAATAATGTTTATTAAATAACTATTGATATCTATGATTGATCACAATGACAATAGCAAGAATGGCACGTGCGAATGATTAATTAATCAAAATAGAAAAACAACAACACTGACAACAACAACAACAACAACAACAACAACAACGACGACGAACGAATGATTAAAATTAACTCTCAAACAACCCACCAACTTCACGAGGGAAGTTAGAAAATTGAAAAATTTAACTAAAGATTTCGTTATAAGGTTCATTATGGCTCCGTATGAAAAGGCTATCTGGATGATTTCGTGGAAGACCTCAACTACACTCCTAACTCTCTGAATTAGGCTGGGCAATCTCTTCTTTTGGCTCGCTGCTGTGACTGTTGAAGCAATTTTTGGTCGATTTGTATCTGAATTTAACCTTTTAATCAAAAGACTAGAAGTTTGACCCATATAAATGTGAAAGAATTTATGAACTTTTAGAAATTCATTAAATTTATGATAATATGTATTATGATTACCGAAACGAAACTAATAAGAGAAAAATAAAAATAATAACTATGTATAAACGAATGTAAATGATGATTAACGAATGAATTTTTCCATTCATATCTGTATTGATCTACCGACTATGTAATGTCATACCATTGGTAGTAGCATCTTCATCGTGATTGGTCGACAGTAAATCACCATCGTGAATTCTCTCTTCTGATTTGTTCTTCAAGTGACCAATGAACCAATGAAGATCGTCCACCTCTTCGTCAAGGCCGGCTAATAGCAGCTGTGTGATGGTCAACGAGGAATGGACAGTAACGCTGCTGTAGGCGTTCGTTTTTTCCAACTCGACTTCCTGTTTATAAGAATTAGAAATTATTTTTCAGATTTTATTGTTATTATTATTTATTAATATAACTTAATTATTATAGTTGAAAAATATATAATTGTATACACTCCACACATATATATTACATAGTATAACCATAAAAAGTACAATCATGACAGGGATGGGCCAACTTTTTCTTCCGAGGGCCATACTGAGGAAAGAAGAGCGGAGTTTGAAGGGCCGCAGAGTATATGTCACACGATATATAAAAGTTTAACTATAAGTCATGAAAATAGCAGTCGTCCTCCTATGCATTTCAATAAGACTGCATATTTTTACATCAATTTTAGAAACAGACTCGCATATAATCGCAATTGTTGGAAACTTTTTTTTTAAATTTCTTGGGATATGGAACCAATCCATTTGCTAAAGACTAAAGACCATATAAACTAACTACATTCATTCTAGACTAACATCTTCTCAGACCTATTTATACCCAAGCAGAAAATGCGAGTTGACAAAAGCTTGTGGAAGTTCAGACTCAAATAATGAAAGATGCCTGAGAGCAAAGTTTTTGAATGAGCTCAGACGAGGAAAAGGTCATACAATCACAAAAGTACAACTCACTTTGCTCAAACTTTTCTAAAACTGTGGTTTCCAACTAAATATTCAAATGAAAATGCAACGAAAACGCAAAAAAAAATCTTTTTTTTGGAGTCTATGACTGAATTACGTAGGTTTGCGGGCAGCGACATAAAATGGCTTAGCGAGCAACTGTTTGCACACCTCTGAATCATATTATATAATATTAACATTATAATATTATAATTGAAAGACCTAGTTATACAATTTATAATATTATAATTTAGCAAGCAGAGAAGACGGACGGGATTCAAATCTCCCAGGCAGGCGTGCACATCCCTGGAGATTTCTTTGAATAAGTTCAAGGTCGAACCACTGGCGCGGGTCAGGGTCAACAATTGTCTGAAGATTAATTTCAAGGTTTCCGTGTCACCTGTTTTGAAAGGAACAATGAAAATAATAAACCATAAAAATGAAAAAAACTACCTCAAAGCTACCATCTCGTTCAACATTAGTTGGTCTACATACACGTCAAAACCAAAGGAAAAGTCATTAATGACATTTTAATATTTACCAACTACATCATCATTATCTTTACATCACCACCAAACTCATCGTCATCATTTTCAATATTTTTCAATCAAGCAACCAGCTAACAATCTAAACAGTTCAATCAATCCAACCAACCAATCAGCTAAACCAACCAATGGTATACTCTTTAAAAATCCTAACATGCCACGCCAGCCAATCAGCTTTCACCTGGTCACCATGGCTACTATGATAGCAACCAATCAGAATAGAGATACACTGAACAATTAGCTGATTGTCTCGAGTGGATTGAAGTGCGCCTTCCTCATTGGCTGCAGATGTCAGTAGCGTTATAAAAACGCGCTGTGATTGGTCGACAAGGATGAATAATAATAATAATAACAATAATATTAATAATATTAAATTAAATTAAAATAAACAAAAATAATTATAACAACAAAACCTGTAGCAGCTGTACATATCTCACAATGACGTCATTATCGTTATTATTTTTATTATGATCGGCTTGTTTCACGCTGCAACTAGACAGCTTCTTAGCTGGCCTTTTATTATCTAAGAGTCCTAAAATCAAAATTATTCTCTGATAAATAATAATAATCTTTGATAATAATAATAATAATTATTATTATTAATTATTAAAAGTATTTATATTTATTTGAAAATCGCAAAAAATATATATCGACAAAATTTACCAAGATCAGTGAGATATTCATTCAGCTTGCAGGGACTTCTCTTTGTAATAACGACAAGAAAGTTGTAAAATGCTTTCAGACAGTTTGAATTAACTTGCTTAGATTTTATAAAGTCATTAATCCCATTATTATTATTCATATTATGATTATTATTATTTATATTATTATTATTTAAATTATTATTTATATTATCAGTTGATGTTGGGTTGGTCAAATTTGTTGGGTTGTTCATAGTTGAGTTTGGCCTAGGTTTGGACCTTAGGCACTGCATGTAGTGCCTCATCAGAGCACTGAGTATAAGAATATATAAATAAATAAATAAATATGGATTACAATGAGAATTTCGTTATAATATTAGTATAATTATTATTACCATTGAATAATAGACAAATACACACACGAACGCACACACACACAAACCTTGATAACATAGACAGATCTTACACCCACACACACACACACCTAAACACACACAGAGACACACGCACACACACACACACACACGCACACACCACACACACATACACACACAAACCTTGATAACACAGACAGATCCTTGTACATACGTTCACTATCCTTACTGGTATAACCCTGACAGTGGCCCTCATTGAGTATTTGTTGGCACTTAGTAATGGCGGACGTAAAAAAGTAAGAAAGAATGGTGGAGGAGGAGTTTGTGATCGACAGTAGGCGAGGTATTATTTCTTTGGTAACTTTTATGACGTCGTCGTGGCCATCTTCATCGTCGTTCGAATCTTTTTCAGAACTTTGAAATGTAAAAATCGCACTAATTAGACATCATTGCTCATCTCGAAATAGAAATAATAGATAAAAAAGAAATTCTGTGATGGACCTAAATATGGAGCAAAGAACTTTCACGACAAACTCCATAGATAGATGATTAGTTAATTTTGAGTAATCGAAAGAATTAGATTTCTTTGGTTTTTTGTTATTTTTGTTATTCTGGTTTTCTTTTAGCAGGGATACGACTCTATCATAAAATTGGAACGCATCGACAATCAGGTCCATGTTTCTACTGTTAAATGTGAACATTTAATCAATCAATCAATCAATCAATCAATCAATCAATCAATCAATCAATCAATCAATCAATCAATCAATCAACCAACATATCAACCTATCAGATGATGATGATGATAGCCATATTCTCTGCATAAGAACCTCAACGCTTCCTGCTACCAAAGATATTAAACACACATTTTTACTTCCGGCAGTTGTAGATGCATCTACGCTGCCTCCACTTTCCTGGTTGGATGAATTTTGTAAAATAATAATATGAATCGCTATATAATGGGTAAATAAATTAAAAAATTGTTAATTTTTATTAAAACTTAAAATATTTAATGATAAAAATAGAAAAAGTTTCATCAAGCAAGTTTAGCTAGAAAAAACGAACTAGAAATCATAATATAAATTTCATATTTTTAACTGAAAAAATAATAACACCAACAAATAATAATTATTATATTATAGTAACAAAAATAATAAATACAATTATTAACAATAATCATCATTATAAACAAAAAAATCATTAAAGAAAAAAAAAAATCAAACAAAAAACCAAACAAACCAGCTCTAAATCTTCTATATCGCACTTCACCAATCTTCTAGTGACGTCATCGAGGCATCTGTTGACGTCATCAATCATGTGATCGCCATCGTCGTCAGCAAAATTATGATCCTTCTGTTTCTTCTCGACTGACAGCCGGTGCAAGCATGATGTTAAGCTTGCCAAGAGGACAGGCTTTTGTAGATCCATTGTTGTTAGGAATTATTATTTATTTATTTATTTATTATTATTACATTATTATTATTCTTATTATTTTTTCAAACTAACCTTTAATCAATAACATTTTCAAAATTTTGAAGTTATAAATTAACATAGAAACAGGCTCTACAAACTACTATGTAAATGTATAAACACATATACTTATATGTAAGTTACCAAGGGTTCTAAAATGGTCCATATATCAGAGGCGAGAGTTAAACATGAAGCTAATTTCAATGGCGGGGTAGTTTCTGCCTCACTCTGTTCGCAGTAACTTTTTAGCTGGAAATAGGGATGGAATTTGGAAAAAGAGAATTTAAAAAAATTTGTTTGTTAATTTTGAACAAAAATACGATAAAGTTAAAAAAATTGTGAAACTATATAACCTAGTTTAAAAATATGTATTACAAAAATTTAAATATTAACAATTCTTTGGTCAGACCTGAGGAAAGAGCAAGTCGATGATAGGTTCCACTAAAGAACCATTGACCATAGCAACTTCATGCAGGCCCTTTGGCAATAATGTACCATTGCAAAATGAATATCAAATTAAACTGAAGTACATAACGAACATCAAACGAAGTTGAAGGACATAAAGAACATCAAACTAAACTGAAAGACATAAAGGACACCAAACTAAACTGAAGTTCATAACGAACATCAAACTAATGTTAAAATATTGATATTATGCCAAACCAAGTGAAAGAAATAATCATTAATCAACAAATATAAATAATTAATTAGTTAATTAATTAATTAATGAAAAGAAGTACTTGATACAAGGTGCTTCTGATGTCGTGCTGCTGAGTTAAGGCCCTCTTCAACACGTTCAGAACTTCGATGCACAATGATTTGTTGTCGACGTCCAGTTTGTCATTACGCCTCAGATCCATATGGATGTCTGCCGTCACCTGATTGGTTGCCAGTAACAGTGGTCGTGATTTAATTGGTCGTTTTGTAGTTAGCGTTAACATAGTTGAAATCAATTCAATTAGTCATGAAACTTTTCAATTGGTCGGTATAATTAGAAGCATTACAAAAAGGCCCAACCCACCTGACTTGAAGAGCATTGCGATTGGCTGGACGAGAAACCATTCAAGACTTTGAAATTTTTTAACAGCAGCATGAAACCATTTATGGACATTTTCCTCATCTCAACTTGCCTTTTGAGTTCAACAAAGCATTGAGATAGCATAAACCCCAACGTATAAATCGCCGAATAAACCATTTTTAACAACAATTTCCGTGAAATAATACAACAAAACAACACTAAATACATAATCAACTCTAAATTTAGCCGACCTACTAAACAAAGTTTTTCTCAACAACAAAATCAGAGAATTTTTCAGAGCTGAGCTAATTTTAATCAGGGGCAGCATGGCCGAGAGAAGTTGCGTTGAAGTGGTCCACGGTACGTAGGCGAAGAAGTCCAAGACGCTTCTGAATCTGCTGACGTTGTTCGCGAAGGAGTGCGCCGAGTGACTGATGATTGGCAGCAGGAGGTCTGTGTGGCGGACGGGAATGAATGAATGAGTGAAGAGTAGATGAATGAAATGATGGATGGATGGGAATGAATGAAGAGTAGATAAATGAAAAGA